ACGAAATCAATCGATCCGATCAAAAAATTGTACTCAATTATAGCTACAATTTTATTGGTTATTGATTTTGCCGATCTAGAAATGAACAGGGCTTATATAAATTAAATATGTATCACGTGATAAATATTGTATGCTAATACCCGCGTGTTACACAAAAAATTCAGGACGCGATTGATTATCAAATAAAAATAATATCATTTTAACTTAAGATAAGTACGTGTCTTTACTAAATGGCAACGTTTAATAGTTATATTTTTGCAAACCCACTATGTCCAAAATCTATTTTCTGGACAAATTTAATACTTTTAGGCTTCAATCCCTCGATTCATGCAACTGGCTCATATTCAACCATAGATTTTAATAAAGACGTGTTCGCGAAAGGACAGAGTTCTGTGAAAGCTATGGAACTAATAATCTGGTTTTTATTTAATGATTTGGACAGTACACTGACAAAGGATGTAAGCAGATAATTCCTTATTCCTTTAATTTAGATATTGTATTTTCGGGAATAAGTTTTGTAATTTATTTTACATTTAGAGATTCTTTGACTGTTGGCCAGTTCTTACTCCTGCACATTCAGCAAAATTTCGCAACATCGCTTACAAGTGGTTGGAACAATTGAAAAAGGAGGGGTGTTTAGGGTACACGGATATCATATTAAGACGAAGTGCATTTGATGAGTGTCAAGGTGAAAGGTAAATAATTAAAAGTATTATGAGTCATTAGATTTATGTTCATTCGTTTTAACGTATTCTCTAATAAAAAAATAAAATAGGTTCGAACGTGTTGTAATGGCATTTTCGAATTATGTTGTCAAAGTATCTCTGGATAGAGAATATCAAAATTATTGCCAAGGTAGAAAAAAAAAAAAATTTAGTTTAAGAAATATCATTGACCCATTGGGTAATGATCTCTCAAAATTAATGGGATTATTTTACTTTAAAAGTTTCTCCGATTAATTTTAAGATTTTAAAAGAATCTTCACCAGATTTACTAAAAGTAATATTAAAGGTAAAAAAAAAAAAAAAATTTAATGTTGAACTCATTCGATTCGCATATATATTATACTTTATTTATCTTTACTATTATTTGTTCAATTAGATTCATATTAAAATACAAACGGATAAATTTGTGATTGGGACACAAGAACGATTAGCTTGCCATGAACTTTGGAAAGATTTAGCTAATAGTTTATCAGAACGTTTACGTAATGTCACAGAAAAAACCGTATTTATTTTTTATCAATTTATTAGCAATACCTTATATGCTTCTTTAAGAGAATTATTCATAACCTTAATTTTCATAGAACCAATTGGAGCGAGAAATATCTGGATTTTATAAAGGAAAATACTTGTTTGAAACATTTGAAAATTTGTCCATAGAACAACTTTCTTTACTGAGATCTCAGAAATTAGATAGTGCACGTTCTGCATGGGAATCATGTTTATATTGGATTAGGGATACCCAAAACTTTACTGGTATAGTATAATTATTATTTGCAATACATAAATGACATGAAAATATTTAACAAATAACAACAAATAAATAGATTGCGTTGAGAACATAATGCATGATCGTACAAATAATCATAGATTAGATGGACAAGAATTATCACTGGAAGTTCCCGAGATTATGATGACTATGTGGGAAAAAGCTTTTCAAAAAGTAGTAAGATTTATTTTATTATGAATATTTTGGGGAACTTTATGATTGTTAATTCCTATTCATTTATTTGATAAATTTTTATTAGGAACAAATTAATCCTTTTCAGGGAGGAAAAAAAGATCTTAGATCTTTACTAAAATTATGGAAATTTTCTCTGCAAACTTTAAGTAATCAATTTTTTAATCCATCAACGATTAAACAACTTCAAGCTCAAGAGTTAAGTCCCAATAAATATAAGTTCAAAAATGGGAATCTATCTTGCACTTTAAATAAACTTGAAGAATATCTGCCAGAACAACAAGAACAGATTAGAAGTCTTTATTCACTTAAAAATTTATTGCGTACTCGTTTAAGTGGAATAAATGAATCGATTAGGTCATTACATGAAGATGAGGATCTTGGTAATGTTTTTTTAACTTATTCATTTTAAAATCGTTACATGTATGATAATTTACAAAAATAATAAGTTTTAACATTTGCAGGCTGCAAAAAAGGTACTTATAGGTTATGAAAGTATAGTAAATATTAATAATGTTATTTATCGTTCAGATAAATAATCAAAGTAGGTTATACTGTATATAAAAAAGTTCAACGTTTTACGATTTAATTTTTTAGAATTTGACATGACTTTGTCTGCGCTGTCAAATTAATTATTTAATTCCAAAAACGAGTTCGACAACATTAGGAATTTACGGAGAATCCATAGAAATAATATCATGGTCCAGGATTCAATTTTGAAAATAAAAAAAAATTACCAAAAATACAATCCTCTTTATGATTTTAAAATGATGTTCAAACTATGAGGCTGAATAAAGTGAAATATCATATTTAAGTCTACAGGACTTTGTGACGATAATAAAACGGATGTCCAATTTTATTAATCGAAGCAAAGAAAAAGAGACAGTGTATTGATCGTAAAATCTTTTATTCAAAGGTGAATACTACCTACCATCTCATACGTATTTACTTACCGAAAATAACCCGAATTACAGTTTATTGTACCTGAGCTTATACTACCAGAAAGTGCAAGGGTTGGAAAGTACAATGATTAATATAGTTAGTACAATTAGTACAGTTAGTACATAATCTAGTACATACAAAATTCACTGAAAATGAATTACTTTTACTTAATTGAAATTCTATCGTCATGTTTCAAAAGTATGGATGATTGATTAAGTACGAAAAGGAAAAAAGGAACAAGGTATATTTATATTTTATTTTATTTTTTTTTTATAGTATTATTCAAGATCCAAATAAATGAAAAAATTAATCATTCTTTAATTATAATATACTGTAAATATAAATTTGATATATTATAAAATTTTGATAAACATAACTAATTTTAATTAAAAAAAAAAAGAAAAAGAAAAAATAAACTTGACGGTTAAAAAGAAATTAAAGATCGTTTATAATGTCACGACAAGACCAGATATGATGGTTGGAATAAAAAAAGAATATTGTTGCTGTAAAAAAAGCGTGAAAAATTTCAATATTTATTTCAAAGAAATCTCGTAATAAAATTGTATAAATTTCAAATTATTTTTTGTCTTCCTCAGCATCTTGAAACATTTCTTCATCATAATCATTTTGTTGTTGATGATTATGATGATTAAGATTAGTAGGAGAATCATCAATAATAGATTCTAAATAAGCTAACGAAGCCTTTAAATTCACGAGTTGAATTAGTTTAGTTAATAAAGTAATGAGATATAGGAGATAAAAATAAATAGATTTAAAACTAATAATTACTCTGCCATTATCACTTAATTCAACCAATTGATTATCACCACCATTTTCGTCATTACCATAATCATAATAAAATTCGTCGTCAAGATCATCATCATCTACCATAAATTCTTTATCCGGATGTAATGCTGCACATTCAGAAAATGCTTCAAATATAGCGTCAACTTTGTCGAAATAAATTGTTAATATCATTCCCTATAATACTGATGATTAATTGAAAATTAAATTATAATTGACTTACGAGCACCGATATCATCAGGAATAAACTTGAGTTCTGATGTATGATCTTCCTCTTCCTCTTCAATATCATGTGCAGCAGATTGTGAAGTTCTGCCCAATGGATTTAATTTCTCATCCAACTGGGTATAAATACTCGGACCTGTATCATGTCTTGATATACCATGTATTATTATAGTAGGATAATCAATCGCTAGTCCATTATTTGTATCCCAAGAATAAAAATACACCTTACTTCATAATCACAGATATAAAATTATAGAATATACATTTAATATTAAAAAGGACCATTATTAAACATATTAAAAATTTAGTAGATATATGATTACTTGCCTTTCAGTTACCCATAATGTTCCTTTACCTAACAATGCATCAGCAGCAGGTGGAGAGAACTGAACGCGGACATGTTGTTGCGTATGACGAGCAATTGGCCCTATTATACCATCTTCTGGAGGATTTTGTTGCATTTGTCGTGCTTGTTCACGTGTAATTACTGCAGGAGGTGTTGAAATTATCGTTATGGCCATATTTCACTTTAATTTCAAAGTATTATCGAGATTGCGAAATAGTGTAAAATTGAAAAATGCGCTTATAAAGTGCTCTCCATACAAGCTCACGTGACTATGATATAGTAATTTCAAAAAAAATTGATTATCTACCTCAATAAGGAATATCCTTTTATGGCCAATATTCCAATCATTATCGAATCGATGTCATATAGTTTGAAGAGGAAATTGAACCCAACCATCATTTCTATACATTTTGATCTATAAGTAAAGTATATATGTATATATTGAATCTTATTTTATTTGACCTTCATTTTTTATGAAGTAAATACATTATATTGATAGGGTAAAAGAATCAAGTAATGTAAAAGGGACATTTATAATTCATTTATTTCATATAATATAATATCATTTATTTTATTTTTTATTAAAAAAAGAAAACTTGGCAGAAAATATATACTATATGTATATTTTTGAGAGGGATGGATTTATTGATATATAAAAATCTATGATGATGAAATAATTCAAAAACTGATTAATTATTAAACCTTCTTGTTAAATCAAAATGTACATAAACATTCCTTTATAGATTGAAATAAAAATCTGTTTCGATAATTGATTGTTGATAGTATAATTTATATAAAAAAACGAATGTCTAGAATGTTTTTCAATAAAATAAATAAGGATAATTTTGTTAAATAATGACGCGAAGAATAAATTATTGAATGAATGAATGGATGGATGGAACGTTAACGATAAGTATTAGATTTTTTTTATCTGAAGTATTATTTATTCCCATAAAATTATTAATCTCATGTGAAAATCAGTCACGTTCTATGTAAGATGAATGACAAAATTAAAAATATATTTTAGCAATTATTCATGAAACATGCATTTTATATCACTAGATCGATTTCAATAAAATTTTCCCAAATAATTAATTCAATTTTGTACATCGAATTATGAATTATAATTGGTTAATTACATCTATCGGAATTGAACAGGCCCTATCTCAAAAATTTTATATCAAATATGGCTACTAAAGGACCACCAAAAAAAAAAATAAAGAAAATTAAAACTACAGTAGAAGAGATAAATGATGTAAAACAAGAAATTTTAGGGACTGTCATTGCCCAATTAAAATCTATTGATGGTGAAGCTACCGGCTCACCTTTAAGTTTACCTGCCAATGTCACGCCCGAACAACTCGAATTATTGATAAATCAATTATTAAATAATGTAAGTCACAATTTAAATTTATTTGCATTTAATTCAAGATAGACAAAATAAATAATATTTATTTAATTATATACTTAGGATGAACCACTTCCTTATGCATTTTCGGTTGATGATAAAGAAATCACGAATACACTTTATAATGATATTATTCAAGGATTAAAGAAATCAACTGAAGATGTGTTAACAATTGTTTATCAACCACAAGCTATATTTCGTGTTCGAGCTGTGACTCGATGTACTTCTACACTGAGCGGTGAGTGAGGGAATTGGATGACTTGTTGATAAAAAATATATATATATATTAACAATTAACTGATATAACAGGACATACTGATGCCATCCTATCGATTAGCTTTAGTCCTGATGGTGCTCAACTTGCAACTGGATCAGGTACCCTTTGATGGTTCATTATCAAAACGTGTTTGCAAATTGTCTCATATTTCGTACCATATTTAGGCGACACCACTGTAAGAATATGGGATCTCAACACGGAAACTCCTCATTTCACATGCAAAGGTTCTTTCCCATATTTATTCATTCAATGAAATTTTATCATTTTATCCGAATTTCCGTTGACATCAACTTAATATCTATTAGGCCATGCAAACTGGGTGTTATATATCTCATGGTCTCCAAATGGTAAAATATTGGCTTCTGGAAGTATGGATAAAACCGTTATATTATGGGATCCAACAACAGGAAGACCATTAGGAGATCCATTAAAAGGACATACACAATGGATAACATGTTTAGCATGGGAACCGCAACATCTGTGTGTATGAAATTTCCATTTCTTTAATTCCTTCAAGTTATAATTCAATTCTAAATAATAATTTCCTTCTTTTTCTTTAAAAAAAAAAAAATAATAATAATAAAGAAATTTAAAATGTAATCGATTGGCTTCATCATCAAAAGATGGTACAATAAGGATATGGGATACTACATTAAGGCGAGTTGTAATGAACATGTCACAACATACTGCGGCCGTTACTTATATAAAATGGGGAGGTGATGGATTACTTTATTCTGCTAGTCGTGATAAAACAATTAAAGTTTGGAATGCGACTCAAGGAACCCTTATTAGAACCTTAGAAGGACATGGTCATTGGGTTAATACTATGGCATTAAGTACTGATTTTGTGTTAAGGACTGGTGCTTTTGATCATACCGGTAGAATTCCAAAAGATGAAAATGAAGGTAATGAAGAATAATCAACTCTTTGTAAGTTTCTTATTTGATGATAGCTTAAGGAAAGGTACCAATGTTGTATATTTCGTATTATAGCACAGGAGTGGGCTTTGGCTAGATATAAAGCTGTAGTTGGAAATAAACCAGAGCGATTGGTCTCTGGTAGTGATGATTTTACAATGTTCTTTTGGGAACCTAGTACAAGTAAAAAATCAATTGCTCGTTTAACGGGACATCAAAAATTAGTAAATCATGTGTGTTTTTCCCCTGATGGGCATTTATTTGCTAGTGCAAGTTTTGATAATTCGGTTAAGCTATGGGATGGTTTTACGGGAAAGTAAGTTGATTATAATTAACTAGTTTATGAAAAGCTATTCGTAATTATTAAAAAAAGATTTTTTTTATTAGATTTATCGCTTCGTTAAGAGGTCATGTCGGTCCTGTTTATCAAGTTTGTTGGTCATCTGATAGTAGATTACTTATTAGTGCTAGTAAAGATAGTACATTAAAAATTTGGGATTTAAAAACCAAACAAATCAAATTAGATTTACCAGGTCATTTTGATGAGGTTAGTTCTTATTAAGGGACATGTTTCATTATATAATTTGATTTAATTTGTATAAATTACAGATATTTAGCGTGGATTGGAGCCCAAGCGGAGAAAAGGTTGCAAGTGGAGGCAAGGATCGCCAATTAAAGATGTAAGTCAACAAAAGATTATAATTCGTTAAAGTATGATTACATAGCATTATATTAATCATTTCCCTTTTTAAACTTATTTATAGATGGAGAAATTAATCTTAAAATAATAGCATTTTACTTATTATTATTATTAGAGAATCAATGAATCATAACAAGTTTTTTATTATTTCAATGATACAAATTTAAAAATTTTCAATTTGACCATATAATTTTTACGAAGTTGATTTATCTCTCATATAATTTTTGAAATGAAGGTCCAATCTCGTTAATCATATCGGAAGTTTGGACGGCGCGTCCAAATTTCTCAAAAGCAGAACGTGAGCATTCTCTCATAAGAGTACATGCCGCATAACTAGCCAGCATTGGAATTTCAGTAGGTGATATTGAATTATCATGCCTTAAATTTTATGGGAAGATCACGAAAAGAAAAGAAATGTTTTAAATATGATTGATACTCAATGAATTTCTATTGTTAATACAAACTCACTGCCAAAGTTTATCATGATAAGCGGATCCCCAAGCAAGAAAAGTTGCAATCAATCCAGTAAGAATGTCTCCTTGTCCACCACACCGTTTAAGTCCCCCTTTGTCATCAACTTTGAAAACTATTCAAATAGATCGTAAATTAATATCGTGTAAATAAATATATATTATTCCTAAATATATACCTTCCTTTCCATTGGATATTAGATCATATTGTCCCTTTTGAACAATAGTTACTCCACCAAAAGCTTGACCTAATAATCCTATCATGTCATCCTTATTATTACCTTCAAGTTTAATATTCTAATCATTAAAAATAATTAAGTTGGGTTTCATAGTGTAAAACGAATCAAATTTACTATTTTACCATTGCATCACAAAGTCTCTTGAATTCAACGATGTTAGGCGTTAAAATTGCTTTAGGATAGTCTTTTATAATTTCTGGATGGTTTTGAATAAGAAATAAACCATCCTTAATTAACAGAAATTATTAGAATAAGGAATCTTAATGACGCACAAATTTCATATGTATATGGTACATACCGCGTCAATAACAAGAGGTAAATTTTTTTCTTTAGCCTTTGTTATAATGCCTTTTGCGCTTTCCAACATCATCTTATCTCTTGATAAACCAGGGCCCACAATTAAAACATGTGTTCGTGGAAAAAGTCCAGTCACGTTATTGATTACCTCTTCCAAAGACTTGCCAGTGTCTCTGAAATTTAAAAATATTAAAAAAAAAAATAATAAACTACATTGCAAAATAGATATAATACCAACCCGGATTGGCGCATGTAAGGATGCACCATTAAATCTGTATTAAATAATCATTTTCGTTAGAAACGAATGAATCTATCTAATTTAACTATGTAACTATGTAACTATTATTCATAACTCAAATCACGAGAAAATTCCCTGGATTAAATAATTTTAAATTATCAAAGCATAATAGTAAAAACCTAAAAAGACCAATTTAAACATGTCGTGATTGAAATTATGTACATTTATACATAAAACATATCAATACCAGGTGCGTAATTCTGATATTTAAACATAAGATGATATATAAATAGATTGATTATAGTCATCAAAATCAAAAAAATCCAATTACCTTAATTGCCAAGGCTGCTGTTGGCTCGCAGACTACGAAAGCTATGTCAGCACCCTATGGTTCAAGAAATGAATTGAATTAGTTATATCAAGAAGGGGTTGAATTTTAACTTCAATTTTAAATGCTTACAAGTTTCAAAGCTGAAAACGAACTGAAATAAGGAGCGCCAGTATATCTAAAATTATACGTTTCATACGTGTCATTAGTCAAAAAGATAAGGAAAAATGAACCTTAAAGGGCGACAATTATTTACTCTTCAGAGCCACCAACAACACATATTCTACCTATTAGAAAGTTGAATATTAGAACTGTTTCAACGTTAACAAAACTGAAAATTTAACTTTAAAACAGACCTGCTTGGCCTTTATGAAATTCTGGTAAGAGTGGTGGTATTAACTGACGAATTTTTTCAATTGCTGGCTTTGCTATTATGTTCATTTTTAATAAGCAAAGCTTTCGTTTCAAAATGTGTAATTTCCCAATCATAATATAACGTCATATTTCGAATCATCCATATTTATACAGGTCGATTATTTTATTTACAGTTACAATGGAAATCTTTTTATTAATATTAAATAATAATAATGAATAATTTACAATAAACAAAAATTACTTCTTTTTTTGAAAATGTCCAAAAATTAAATCATAACCATCTAATTCATACAATATTCGATCTTTTCTAGAAAACCCATCAATAACATCGATAGATTCAACCAAGAATTTTTTATCAAAGTCACCTTCTTGGGTTTTAAAAACGGTTACGCTAAATTTTCCTGGTTCAAAGATCGCAATCACTTGTCGGATAATATCCATAATAGATCCAGAATTTACTGGAATATTAGTCTCAAACGAAGCATAGGAACAAATTGGTTCAGGAGTAACGTGAACATTGAAATAACTATCTCCCACCAACCCGTTTGCAGAATATCCGCATGGCTTAAAGAGATAAGAATCTAATTGCGCTTCGGGATAAAGGTTGCACAAACCAGTTTTTTGATCAATTCTTACACCACCTTCAGTTCCTGATTCACCTTCTAAAGGATTGTGATAGAATTTACTTAACGTCGTTGTACTAAGTTCAGTCATTAAAATTTCAATTGTTTGATCTTCTAAATCAATAATAATTGGAGGTTTTTTTTGATCTATTTCATCTAAAGGATATGAAAATGTATCTATATGTGAAGGTTCTTTCAATCGAGAAGAGTTGTGAGATAAGAATTCGTCAGGAGATGATGCTAGCCACAGGAACCAATGATCTCCATTGATTTTTCCAACCGTGTATGCTGCGCCATTTTCTATTATGTAAAGTCAGAACTCGATCTAAAAAAAAAAAAAAAATTGTTTTTGACAGAAATTCTTACCGAAAAGTTGATCCAAAAATTTTACTTCCTCATTCCAATTTTTATGTGGATGCGACTGACGTTCCGGAAACATAAAGCTCTTGCGAGAATAGAATACTCTCCATACTTTATGAAGGTGACAATATTCAGAAGCGATTTCAAGAAGACGAGGTAAAGCAACCAAAAGCGTAGTTGTACCGCAAGTTTTTAAAATGATTTTATGAGGATAAATAAACATCGAAGATTCGCTAAATGGAGTTATTTTGAGTCAAAAAATGCTTTACATTTAATTATATATTATGACATCATACGTGTTTTAACTGATGAATTCTCGCAATTATGAAAATGAAGCCTATTTCAATTTCCGACAAAACAATTTTTACCTTAATAAATAAGCATCCATATAATCATTATTAATTACATTCAATACTTCACATTTAACAAGTTCCAAAAACTTGTTCCATATAACTCTTTCAACTAGACGTAAACCAGTTTTTAATGGGGGTGGTTTGTCATCATTATCATTTGGAAAGAGACTATTTGGAATAGTATCCGGTGAAGGTCCGAACCAAATTTCCAAAAGTTTTTCTGGTCCTTCAAAAACATAGTTTTGACCGAATACTTCTATATCAACTTCATCGAGTGTAAGATTATCACTCATAATGGCTAATCATTGTCAAATTACAATTTTTTTTTTTATTTTTATTTTTTTGCTTGTGGAATTGTAAAAAAAATTGTTGTGATACGGAGATAATCTATTGTTATATGATTGGTTAGTAAATTCAGAAACCGAAAAATGGGAAATTTATACAGTAATTTATATACCAAATAAGTACTAATAATAATAATGATGGATCCCATTGATTAATTATATGGGGCCGTTGCAATAGAAAAATCAATTTTACTTTTATATGCCAAATATTCAAATTTAGCATTAATTCATTTTGATTTTCCGGCAGTTTCGCCCCTTTCTATTGCAAAGGCCTCATATATTAAAAATTAGTAGTTGCCTATTGGCTTAAAAACTTGCATTTTCAAATCGCGATTTTTAAAAAAGTTCTTATTTATTTTTGATAAATACAATCGCAGCTATATTAAACCTTAATGGGATTATAAAATTAGATTTAAAGAAGAATTTTTATTATTTAGTTTTAAATTTTTCAAAGTAAAGTTTTAACTTTAAATAGGACTTCAAAAATGAATAATTTTCGCAAAATTTGTAAAAAAAGGTGCAACGAAAGAGATCAAATTAAAATCAAAAATAACCAATTATTTTACTTACTACTTCCTTTATAAGTATGGCAATCTTTAAACACAATGAATTTTGCTTCATCTCTTAAAAAAAAAGCAAAAATTTCACAAATCAACTTAACTGTGATTGAGAAGAATCTTTTGAATGATGTTTTTGAGCCTTTCTTGCTAAATATTTATACCATATACAACTATTTCTTATTTCCCTCCATTCAGGTATATGACCATCCGGTAATAACGTTTTAAAGAAAATTCAAAAATATATGTTATCAAACGCTTAATCTAATTTTTTTAATAAATTATTTTAAATTAGTTTAAATGAATTTAATTAATACTACAGTGTGGTATCTTTATAATAGATTCCAATATATCTGATGATCTAGTGATCAAAATTTTATAAAATTTTTTTGTTAAATAACTCTTAAAAAAAAAATTGATTAAGCAAATAAAAAAATTTTTCTCAATTTTTTTTGCTGACATAATACAAAATCACATAACCTAATGTGACTTTGATTGGCTAATATGTTAACTAGAATTATATTTGATTTTTTAAGCAAATTTATTAAAAAATTTTTATTTATTTTTTATTTTCTAAAATAATCTGATTAAATATATCATTAAAACTCTTCTATTTTTTTCTGTAAATATAAGTTTTTCTGTAACATTTTTTATATATCTTTATGATTTTTATGCAAAACATTTTATTTTAACTAATAAAATAAAATTTTAATACTTCTAAACAGTTTTTTGTAATCCATTTCATATATAATCACAATACTTATGTATATATCTTTTGCCGCTTTCTAATACATTTTATTAAAATTCTAATCATAATAAAATTTGTGATAAAAATATATTTATATTTAGCTTTTTCAATTATTATTTTTAATTCTAATTTTTATGCAAAAAATCTGATTGTAAAGACATAATTTTATATGTATAACAATTAATTCTTATTATTTTTTTTATATATATAACTGATAATTAAGATGCAAATTGTCACAATATAATCATCTTTTAATTAATACTTGTTTAGATTAATTTAGATATTTTAGATAATCAGAAAGAAATATTATTAATTATAAAGTATTTTCTAATCTAAATATAGTATTTTTTATTACTGATTATCATTTACTTAGATTAAGATTTATATGTTATATATACAAAATATTAACTCTATTACTTCATGATTAATACTATTATCAAAAGCAAAAATAACAATTGTATTTAAATGTATTATTTCAAAAATTATAATAGTAAAATCTTTTACTTGTTCAATCAAATATTTTGTTATTCATTATCTCTCTTCATTCTGACTTGAACATAAAAATTTTAAAGTCTCTTATAAAATTTTAAAATGTACTTGAACTTGCTTATCTATTCATTTAAGACAACCAATTGTTTTCAAAAGAAATTTATTAAATATTATTGACTTTTTTATCTTTTATTATTAAGAGGTAGTTCACTAAGAGAAATCTAAATAATAGAAATTATAAAAATGTGGCCTTTTTTTCTTTAGATAAAATTAGATTTTTTTGATTTATATTATTATCTTCAAATATTAACATTAATATTCAAATGCTTCCATTTTTTTTAAGGAATTTAATTCTATATTAGAACATTCATATTGATACTATTTTTCAGAATTATAAAATAACTTTAAGTTTTCTTAATATACTTTAGCTGTTTTTTCAGAAATTGATGCAGTTATTTTCATTTGTAAAAGAGAATATTGTTAACAAAAGTTCTATATAATTTTGGTATAAATTTTTCTTCATTTTTACAAATAAATTCTAAGCTTTTTTTTTTATTCACATTCATATTTTTATTATCAACAAATAATTTTGTTTTTTTGATAGCAACTTTAAATTAATACTAATAAATCCCTTATTTACAACCTAGTTTTTTGCTTATTTTCTAATTCCTTTTATATAATATAGTCCTTTATTAAAGTTTTCTCTTATAGCAGCTTTCTTATAAATTATATATTTTTCTTTCAATTAATAAGTAATACATAAATTAAATGATATCTTAAATATTTATATACTAATTTTTTTATTTTGTTTAAGAATTGCTTTAATAACTTTTATTTTTTTAGCAAAATTATTATCATTATTATTTATTTTAATATCTATTTCATCTTTTTGTTCTTCTTGTATACTTTCTAATTTTTTAATTCTAAGATATCATTTGTATCAGTTACAAGTTTGAATAATATTCAATAATTAGTAAAATATCTTTAGCTACTTTTGTATATATTTCAGATAGTCTATACTTTTAATAATATGTTATAGTAGATTATCCAATATATTATCTTATTTTTTTTAATTATTGTAAACAGATCTATAAAATGACCTATATATAATTAATTTACAGAAATAATCTATTGAACTATTTACAAATTGATTTATATTAAATATGAGAACTGTAATTAATATGTTGCAACTTTTAATGTTATAACATATATTGCAATTAGTTTTAAAATATATATATTGCAACCAATTTTAGCTTATATTATAACAAGTTATAAATTTAAAATTAATTGCTGCATCATCTTTAATCTACATATATAATATTGAAAGTGTTAACATTGTTAATATAATTAATATAATCAACATATTTAATTTATTTAACATATATAATATATTTAATATACAATTCTGATAAAAAAAGTAACAATTTTTTATTTTTAGATTTCTGAATCAATCACATTTGTTACATTTGTTTTTCTATACAAATATAAATAATATAATATAAATAACTTGGTTATATCATATTTTAATAAATATCAGCAGCTTAACTATCACACATATTATACAATAGTATTAGGGTTCCGCAATTTGATTTGATATTTGAATATTTAATTTGAAAATCAAATCAAATACAAATTCAAAATTATATTTGATTTGATTTAATCAAATTTAAATCAAAGAATGATTTATTTGATCAAATCCAAATTAATGTTTGATTCAATTCAATCAAATTCAAATCAAGTATTCAAATATTTGATTTGATTTGAATCAATAGTAAAGCTATCTCCAAAACTTTAGGAGTGGCTCTTATTACCGCAGCTTCAAAATGCTTTTTTTACTAAGAAAACTATAGCAAAAAGTGCCTTCGCAGCTTTAAAATGCTTTTTTTACTAAGAAAACCATAGCAAAAAATGCCTTCACAGCTTTGGAAATGCCTTTTTTACTAAGAAAACCATAGTAAAAAACACTTTCGCAACTTCAGAAATGCCTTTTTACTAAGAAAATATAGTAAAAAATGCCTCCGCAGCTTTGGAGATATTTTTTACTAAGAAATATAGTAAAAAATGCGTCCACGACTTCGGAAATGTTTTTTTACTAATAAAATTATTACGAAGCCGAGATGTGGTTATTACTAAGTTTTCTAAGTAAAACTGAAGCTGCAATAGCAGTTATTACTAAATTTTCTTAGTAAAACTAAAGCTGTGATAGCAGTTATTACTAATTTTTTTTAGTAAAACTGAAGCTGCGATAGCGGTTATTACTAAATTTTCTTAGTAAAACTAAAGCTGTGATGGCAGTTATTACTAAATTTTCTTAGTAAAACTAAAGCTGCAATGGCGGTTATTACTAAATTTTCTTAGTAAAACTGAAGCCGCAATGGCAGTTATTACTAAATTTTCTTAGTAAACCAAAACTGCAATAGCAGTTATTACTAAGTTTTCTTAGTAAAACTGAACTACAGAGTTATTTTACTAAGTTTAATAGTAAAAATCCACCTGTTACTAAACTTACTTTGTAAAAGTTATCTTTAAAATTTTTTAATGCAATTACTAATAATTTTCTTAACTAAAACTTTAAAATAACTTTATTTTAATATATCATTGTAAAAATTAAAAAAATTTTATATTCGATTCAATTCAATCAAATATTTAATTTGATTTGATTTGACAAATATTTGATTCAATTTGATTCAATTTGATCAAATTCAAATCAATTCAAATTGCTTAAATATTTGATTTGATTTGATTTTGAGGAATCCTAAATAGTATACTAAAAAATCATCACCAAAGTATTAAGACTTTATAGAAAAGTGGAGTTCATAAAGCTGTAGACCTTTAAAAAATAATTGGATTTCTATTAAAAACTTTATAAAGATTGGCTAAATAGTTTGAATAAACAAATAACTTAAAGTAAAATCACATAAATATGCATCAAGTTTTAAATTAGCTGATTCTTAAACAAAAATATATTAATTTTAATATTACATCCTGAATAATTAAAGAACTTTTAAGTACTTAAATATAAAGTTTATGATTTCATTCAGTTTCTTTTCTTATATAAAATATTATGAATTGTCATATCATTTAAGTAAAGGATAATCAAAAATAATGTTATATTTTCTAATAAATCATCATCCAAATTTTTTTATAATACAATT